ATGTCTGATTCCATTATTAACACTCCTCAGATTCAGTGACGAGTAAGGAATTTGCTAAGAAAATGAGACACAGATTTAAAGGAATGGGCAAAGATGGTGTCAGCTGTAATGAGACATCAAATTAGAACATTTTCTCCTTTCATAAGAGTACATTTTACCTTGATGGCTTTTAAAATAAATGTCAGTTTGAAAAATGAAGGAAGCCTCTTTGTGGCTGAATCACTTCTAAAGTTCCAGTAAACACCCTTGCTCATTGCTTCACTTTTTGTTTCAACCCTCTGGATAGGCTCTCTTTGCTTCTTGTTTCTTTTCTTCTCTAGTGTCTCTATTCCCAGAAGCTAGATCACTGAGCCTCTACTGTTAGGAAGCTACATTTAGTGATAAATTATGACCATTTGAATATAACTCTATTGGAAATTTTATCTTAATTTAGGATGTATAAATAACAAAGAGACACGTGTGTGTATTCTCTGTGTCTGGCTATTCATTGACTGAAAGCTATCTCCCTGAAACCACTGATTGAAGTTTCAGAATGAGAAAATTAAAATGGCCTCATAGAACCTGTCCTTAACTTGGAAAGGAACCAAGGAACCAAGCTGTTCTCCTGATACGGATGAAAGGGCCCATCTCAAAAATATTTGAACCCACTCAAAATTTCAAAAGATCCTAAACTCAAGGCTTAAGCCCTGGGAGATATATTTTGCAGGGGCAGCTAGAGAGCTAAAGGGGAAATACAAAATTCTTGTCTATTTTTACTTAATCCCACGCAGATCTAATCTCATCCCTTATGAAACGTAACTCTTAATCAAATTCTGTGTAAATAGAAAGGGGGAAAACCACTTCAAGCACAATTCATACTTTATTTTTATCTCAATTATCCCCCCAGAGCCATTAACTGACCTGTGGCTTTGGGACTTACCTGGAAATGGTAAATGGTCAAAGACCATTGAAAATCATTAGTGTAACCTCCCTGTCTTTTCTTCTGTGCTGAAGTAGTTTAGGGCTTCAAATGTAGAACTCAAATTCCAGGCTCTTCATTTCAATTTTTAAAGTACAAGTACTAACAAAATGTAATTTCTCCATGATTAGGTCTGATTTACTTTAAGCTGAGCTGTTCATAAATCTAACTCAGTTGGTTTCTGTCAGTCAAATCTAACTTTTGCATACTACAAAGTATATTTTAAATAGAATGACCTTTTAGAATTTACAATGATGTCCACATTTTGGACACTTATAAGTATTTCCTCATGTTTATGAGGAAATAAATTTATGTTCTTCTTTGGGTCTCATTTATTATTTGCATAAAATGGAAGACTGAGGAAGTAAATTATATTGATAACTCTCAAATTTTGTGGTACATTGAATCATCTGAAAACTGTTTAAAAGTCACATGTTTCAATGTCAGTTATTAGTTTTTATTTAATATGCCTCAAATATAGCTGTGAAAGTTCATAGATAGCTGTTTGTTTCATGGCATCCTGACTAAGTGGCTTGCTAACCTACTAGCCACACCCATACAGCAAGAAATTTTGATGTTTCCCTGCCTAAGGAAGAGACTCGAAATAATGATTTGACACATTAAAACTTACTAATGTCATAAGAGTTCTACTTGACAAATAGGCTATAGGCATAAGAATTAAATGCAGAGCAACAAAAAGAAGAAAAATCATTACATTTATTGTCTATGGTCCTTTACCAAAAGGGTGTTCCATTTTCAACATTTTTGAAAATACCACTTGTAAATGCTATTTGGAAGAAGGAGAACATGGACCATATTTTCATCTATGTAATCGAACTTAGCCATAGGTCACCTTGTGTGACAAAGGCAAGGCTGAAATTAAATGAATTCTAATGGTTCATTTAGAACTTTGAGAAGTTTGCATCAAGTCATGTAAACCTTCTAAACACTGTATGCTCCTGCACTTCATTTTAAATCCCTTAAGTATTCTTAAAATTGAGTGTAGTGCATATACCGTGTCTGTGTGAGAATAATAGGCCCACGCCTTCCTCAATAATTCTGTTCTTGTCCTGAGTGTTCTAGCCAACACAGTTCATCTCCATGGCAACCCCTGCTTTGGCTCAGCCTGGGGATTAGAATGACTTCATTTCATACACCTGATAAGGGAAGGTGGGATTTACTGTGTGGAGAAGGTTCTTACTTCAAACAGAAACAGGATTAGATGACTTCATTCCACAAACCTAATAAGTTTCTTCAAACAGAAACATAATCAACAAACAGCCATATTTGTTCCTGTTATGAAGGACAGCCTTGTAATCCACATAACTGATGCACTAAGTGGGCCCCAGAATGTACCTGTCAAACTTCCTCCTCCATGATTTCCATTTTCACTAATTAAGGGTAGAAGGCCTGAGCATTAAAAAGCATAACGAAACTGGTCACTTCATTCAATGAGTGTCCTTTATATTGCTCCATGTGAGGCCTTAAATTATTTTATGAAATCACACTAATTGTTATCATCATTGAGCAACTGAGTCCCACAGCCACAGGAATGATTCTTTTATTAGACGTGGGAAAGAGTATTTCCTCCTCTCTTGGAACAAAGGGAACTCAACAAGATTCCTATGCTGAGGAAAAGGCAATATGCTCAAGATTAACCATTTTTATTGTCATAATTTTGGCAAATTTGTACATTATTATAATGTGTTCTCTGATTACTCACACCCTCCCATCCTTGTCAATCCCAGTTCCACTTCTCTACAAGTCTATTTCCCATATAAATTTCTGCTCATCTTTCTTTACGGCCCACTGAATTTAATCAGGGTCATTTTCTGACCACGGCTTTGGAATTATTCTGTGGAGATTGGTGGGCTAATCAGAGAGAACAAAATTAAAGACAATAAATGGCAGCCCTCCCTCCAGAACCCATCAGTAAGGAGAGGGTAAGAACCTGTATAGAGTCTTCTAGCACTAGAAAGATAACCAGAATGTTGGAAGCTTTCTGCTCAATTTCAGCCTAATTCATGTGTCTTGCAACCAAGGGGTGTGATCTCTTCAGCAACTGAGTCTTAATTCTATCACATTAATTAAAGGTAATCTGCCCTCTTGAAGGAATGTTGCTACCTACACTCGTAGATCATTTTTGTTCTGTTATTTTTTATTTAAATTAAAAACAATCTTATTTTTCATACCAATCCCAGTTGCCTCTCCCTCCCATCATTCCATGCCCCCGACCAACCCCCATCCCACTCTGATCCACTACACAGGAAGGCTGAGACCTCCCATGGGGGGATCATCAAAGTCTGTCACATCAGTCGGGGCAGGGACAAGGCCCTCCACTGTGTATCTAGGCTGAGAGAGTATCCTTTCATAGGGAACGGACTCCCAAAGTTCATGCATTAGGCCCCATAGACTGCTCAGGAATCCTAACTGATACCCAGGTCAGGGAGCCTGGTTTTGTCCTGTGCTGGTTACCCAGCTGTCAGGCTGGGGTCCATGTGCTCCCACTTGCTCAGGTCAGCTGTTTCTGTGGATTTCCCCAGCATGGTCATGACCCCTTTGCTCATCACTCCTCCCCCTCTGTAACTGGATTCCAGGAGTTCGGGTCAGTGCTAAATTCATAGATCTTTAACTCAATAAAATTAATGTATATATCCATATGAAAGTTTGTGAATGAGGGCTCACAAGTTCCAGACTAGAGAGAAAACATCTTCTAAGGGAACCAAGCAAAAATTACTAGAAAAAGAGAACCTGAAATAATGGAAGCTTGCAATCTCCCAGTCTGAAAAACTAGAATTTGAAATTTAATTAAGAGTGTTTAAAGAAGACTGGTTCTTGCTGTTAGGCAACGAGTAAGAAACATGTTCTGTGTTTCTCTCCCAGCTTCCGAAGATTTGCCAGCAATCTTTGGTGTTCCACAGCTTACTAAGTTATCCTTCAAATCCTGATGTTTTGTGTGCTTTCTTCATATATCATTTCACAGTCTTCTCTACATGCATGTCTTCACGTGACCAAATTTCTTTTGGGGTACTAGAGAGGAAGCTTAGCTGTTAAGACAGCATGTTGAGTACAGGTTTTCAAAGTATGACCTAATGATTCTCAATGGGAATAAACCTACCACAAGACCTAGCAACTCCACTCTTAGGCATATACCCAAAAGATGCCCATTCATACAACAAAGATGCCTGTTCCACTATGTTCATAGCAGCTTTATTTGTAATAGCCAGAATTGGAAGCAACCTAGATGTCCCTCATCCGAAGAGTGGATAGAGAAAATGTGGTACATCTACACAATGGAGTACTATTCAGCAGAAAAAAATAATGGAATCATGAGATTCGCAGGCAAATGGATGACACTAGAAGAAACCATCCTGAGTGAGGTAACCCAGTCACAAAAAGAGAAACATGGCATGTACTCTCTCATATATGGATTTTAGACATAGATCTGGGGAGTGCCAGCCTACAATCCTATGGCCAGAGAGTCTGGGAAACAGAAACTACATTTAGTGGCTGGTTAAGTACTGAGCTGAACTCAAGAAAGCCAGTATCAGAGAGGGAGGACTGATGATCAACGGGATTAAGACTGGGCTGGTTTAACCCCTAGAAACAGCTGACCAGACAAAGGTTAACTCTTGAATCCCAGGCATCAGCCTGGGAATCCAGCATGGGACTGATCAAGACCCCCTGAATCTGGGTGTCAGTGAGGAGGCCTAGGTAATCTATTGAGCCTTGGGCAGCAGATCAGTACCCATCCCAAGTATACACACGGACTTTGGACTCCCATAGAACAATGTGAGGTGCACTCTCACCCTGAACTCTTGGGGAAGGGTCTAGGCCCTGCCCTATATGAAATGACAGACTATGGACACCCCCATGGAGGGCCTCACCCTCCCTGGGGGAACGGGGGGATAACGGGGAGGGGTGGGGTGGGGGGAGGACACGGGAGGAGGGGAGGGAAAGGGAGAGGGACCTGGAACTGACTTGTGAAGCAACCTTGTTTCTTATCTAAATTAAAAAAAAAAGAATAAAAAAAAAGGACTGACGGGAGGGCCGGGCGGTAAGCAAGATGGCGCAGACTCAGGGCACCAAGAGGAAAGTCTGTTATTACTACGACGGTGATGTTGGAAATTACTATTATGGACAAGGCCACCCAATGAAGCCTCACCGAATCCGCATGACTCACAATTTGCTGCTCAACTATGGTCTCTACCGAAAAATGGAAATCTATCGTCCTCACAAAGCCAATGCTGAGATGACCAAGTACCACAGTGATGACTACATTAAATTCTTGCGTTCCATTCGCCCAGATAACATGTCTGAGTACAGCAAGCAGATGCAGAGATTCAACGTTGGTGAGGACTGTCCAGTATTTGATGGCTTGTTTGAGTTCTGTCAGCTGTCTACTGGTGGCTCTGTGGCAAGTGCTGTGAAACTTAATAAGCAGCAGACCGACATTGCTGTGAACTGGGCTGGGGGTCTGCATCACGCAAAGAAGTCTGAAGCATCTGGTTTCTGTTACGTCAATGATATCGTCTTGGCCATCCTGGAACTGCTAAAGTATCACCAGAGGGTGCTGTATATTGACATTGATATTCACCATGGCGATGGTGTGGAAGAGGCTTTCTATACCACAGACCGGGTCATGACTGTGTCCTTTCATAAATATGGAGATTACTTCCCAGGAACTGGGGACCTACGGGATATTGGGGCTGGCAAAGGCAAGTACTATGCTGTTAACTATCCCCTCCGAGATGGAATTGATGACGAGTCCTACGAAGCCATTTTCAAGCCAGTCATGTCCAAAGTGATGGAGATGTTCCAACCTAGTGCAGTAGTCTTACAGTGTGGCTCAGATTCCCTATCTGAAGACCGGTTAGGTTGTTTCAATCTAACCATTAAAGGGCATGCCAAGTGTGTGGAGTTTGTCAAGAGTTTCAACTTGCCTATGCTGATGCTGGGAGGAGGTGGATATACCATCCGTAATGTTGCTCGGTGCTGGACTTATGAAACCACTGTGGCTCTGGACACAGAGATCCCTAATGAGCTACCATACAATGACTACTTTGAATACTTTGGACCGGACTTCAAGCTTCACATCAGCCCTTCCAATATGACCAACCAGAACACTAACGAATACCTGGAGAAAATCAAGCAGAGGCTCTTTGAGAACTTGAGAATGCTGCCCCATGCGCCTGGTGTCCAAATGCAGGCAATACCTGAGGATGCCATCCCAGAGGAGAGTGGTGATGAGGACGAAGAAGACCCTGACAAACGCATCTCCATCTGCTCTTCTGACAAACGAATTGCCTGTGAGGAAGAATTCTCCGACTCAGATGAGGAGGGAGAAGGAGGTCGCAAGAACTCTTCTAACTTCAAAAAAGCCAAAAGAGTCAAAACAGAGGATGAAAAAGAGAAAGATCCAGAAGAGAAAAAAGAAGTCACCGAAGAAGAGAAGACCAAGGAGGAGAAGCCAGAAGCCAAAGGGGTCAAAGAAGAGATCAAGCTAGCCTGAGCATCAAGATCTGCGACTCTGGCCTCTCCCCAAGTTCCCCACTTCTCCCCAATCTCAGATTTTATATTTTCTATTCCTCTGTGTATTTATATAAAATATATTAAATATAATGTCTTCCCCCAACTCTGCAGGTGGAGGTTTTAGCCTAGCTTCCTTTTTGAGATATTCCATTTTGTGAGACTCTTTATAATAAACAACACATTTCTATAAAAAAAAAGGAACAAAAAAGTAAGGAGTAAAGCAGGAGAGGGAGGGAATAAAACAAGGGAATGCTGGGAGGATTAAAATATATTACATACTTGTACAAAATTGTCAAAATAATAATAAAAACTTTATGTGTTTTCAAGCAAAAAAAGACAGCATGTTGAATATATTGAGGTAGATTTTTTTCTTTAAGTTCATTTACATAATTTATTACATTTATTTGCTTACATATGTTCAACTGCCACTGTACATCTCTTATATGTTCTAACTTAGGTGAATATAGTTTTTTAAGTATTCCCTTAAAATATTATGGATTTGCTTTCGGTCCTCTTCTCATATTGTTATTTTGTGTCTCCTCTTTTTTGTGGTTAGTTGGGCAAATGGTCTAGCAACCTTACTTATCTTTAAACAACCAGTTCTTAGATGCATTGATTCTCTTTATTCTTTTTTTCTACTTCATTTTCTTTTGTGAATTTTATTATGACTTTCCATATACTGGACTTAGATATGATTTGTTCTTTTTTTCCAAATTAATGAGTTGTATCATTAAGTCATTTACTAGTGTTCTTTCTAATATATTAAAGTAAGCACTTGGAACTACATATTTCCCACTTATGGCTGCTTGTAATGTATCCCACAGGTTTGTGTGTGTGTGTGTGTGTATGTGTGTGTTGTGTTTTAATCTTCATTTAGTTCTTGGAAGGTATTTCTTGATTTCTTCTTTGACCCATTCATCATTTAATAATATGTTGTTTAATCTCCATGAGTTTTCTTTGCAATTACTAGAGATTTGTTTGCTGATATTTTTTAATTTTATTGCATTGTGGTCAGAATTTTATATTTTTTGAACTTATTAAAATTTGTTTTGTGTCCCAGGAAGTGGTCTATTTTGTGGAAGCTTCCATGGGCTCCTGAGTGGAGTGGGTTTAGATAGAATATTTTCTAGATATCTGTTATGCCTATTTGAAGTATGATGCTATTTAATTTTGATGTTTCTGATAATTATTCCCATATGAACTGTCTATTGGAGAAATTAAGGTAGTAATATTACAGTCTACTATTGAGCTGAATAACCTGTGTCTTTAATTCCCCTACTATGACTTTTATCAAATTGGGTGCTACAGAGTTCAGTACATGTATGTTTAGGATTGTAGTGTCTTCTTAGTTAACTGTTCCCTTAATTATAATGAAATATGCTTCTTTAACTCTTCTGATTAATGTTAGTTTGTCATATATTGTGTCACATATTAGGATAGGAACATTTACTTGTTCCATGGTCCCAATAGCTAAAATACATTTTTTTTCTGTTTGTTCATTTTAGGATATTGTCTACCATTAAGATGAGCTCTTTTTGTGCAACTGTCCTTTGATCGGTGATCAAGGCCAATAATATTTAAAATTATTATTAAAATTTTTATGTTGGTTTCAGTAATTTTACTACTTTTTTATTTTGTTTTGCGGTTTATGTTCTTAGTTATTTGTGTTACAGTAATTATTGCTTCATTTAATTTCTTTCTATAGTACATGTTTATGTTTACTCTTTTCTCTTTGTTTCAAATTTGCTTCACTATTCCCTGCAAGACTGATTTTATGGCCATGAATTTTTAAAATCTGTTTGCATCATGGAAAAATTTTCCCCTTCAACTACAACAGAAAGTTTTGTGGGGTACATCAGTTTAGGCTGTAACTGTGGTCTTTTAGATCTTGGAGTGTATTGTTCCAGGATAATCTGAGGTTTTTTTCTACTTTTTTATTTAATAATTTGCAATCATTTTACATATCAATCCCCCATTCTCTCTCCTTCCCATCCTCCCATGCCACTTACCTACCCCACAACCCATCCCACACCCACTCCCCAAGGATGGTGAGGCCTTCACTGGGTGATCAGCAACGTCTGTCACATAATTGGAGGAGGACTTAGGCCCTCTTCTGTGTTTCTGGGGTTAAATAGTATCCCTCCATAGGTAATGGGCTCACAGCGTTCATTTGTGCACTAGGAATAAATAATGGTTCCACTGTTAGAGGACTCATAGTCTGCCCAGGCCTCCTAAGGAAGGTTTATAGCCTTTTTCCTAATTCAACAGTAGTTTTACTTATTTATTATCATCTCTTTATTTTAATCTTTTCTCATTTTACATTCCAATCCCAGTTCCCACTCCTTCCTTTCCTCCTTTTCCTCCCACCTTCCCCCAACCTCACCCCTCCCTCCTCCTCAGAGAGTGTAAGACTTCCCATGGGTAGTCAACGAAGTCTGGCACATCACTTCAAGGTAGAACTAAGGCCCTGGTCCCCCTATATCTATACTGAGCATGGTATTCCTCCAAAAAGAATGGGCTCCAAAAAGAACCAGTTCAAGCACTAGGGATAAATCCTGGTCCCACTTCCAGTGGCCCCACAGATTGCCCAAGCTACGCAATTGTCACCCGCATTCACAGGCCCTAGTCTGGTCCTACGCAGGTTCCCCTGCTATTATATAGTAGATTCAGCTGCTATTCTGATGAATTTTCCTCTATATGTGACTTATGTTGTTCTCTTGCAGTTTTCAGTACTCTGTGTTCTGAAGACGTAGTATATTACCTGTGATATGGCATGGTTTTAGTTTTCTTATATAGCACAGGTACACCTATTCAGAGATAGCATCAGTCATAATTCCCATAGTGTGTGGAGAGCCCTCCTACATCAACTAACAGTCAAAATGTACCCACATCCTGGACATGCTCACAAACTATTATGATGGAGCCAAGTCTTCAAATGAGGTTCACCCACCCAGGTGATTCTAGGTTGCGTCAAGATGATAAAAATTAGCCAGCACAGCTAAGGTATTCTGCCTTGTTTATCAGTGTTTTCAGGTTTTATGTCTAATTAAACTTATGTTGTTGAACATGAAAGAAATGGACCTGAATTTATTTTTCTACATCTTTACATCTGAACCATTAGTACCATTTGTTAGAGGCTGTAATTTCCCTAATTATGATTTTTTGACAACATTGTGATAAATAAGGTGACTTCATTTTTATGTCCTTATATCTGGGTCTGGTTTTATTACACTGATTTACATGTATTGTTGTTATATGACCCCCTTTTGGGGAGGGTTCTTTGTCTCTAAAGTATAATTTGAGATCAGTCAATATGATATAGTCAGAATAATTCTTTCTGTTTAGAATATCCTGATTATTTGATATCTTCTGGGTTTTATTATTAATTATAGGATGTTTCTCTAGTTATGTAAAGAACAGGAAATATATTCATAGAAGTAAAAAAAAACACAGGAATAAACTCCCAAATAAATTCTGAGGAAACATATAATAGCAGCTGCATGAAATAAGGCAGTGAATATAGTATAGGAAAATAGAATTCACTTACTAAATAGACATACTGAAGAGAAAACACTGAAATAATGATGGAAATGAAAAAAAATTCAGTCAAATAGAAATTCGTGAAAATCCTCACCATTATAATTCAACAGGGGGACATGATAGCAGGGCTTTTCAAAGACAAGATACAGGAACTTAGTCACGATCAGTGATAAATTTCCAAAAACACATGTATGGAACATGTATGATTCTTAGGACATCATGAAAACACAAACATCAGTAAATAATGGGAATAGAAGAACTTCATATCAAAGGCATAGAAAATGATTTCTAGAAAATCCCTATATATAGGGAAATTAATGCCTATCCAGACAATGGAATTCTAAGAGTATGAGTAGAAAAGAAGCTCCTCCATCATATTGCACTTACAGCAGTGAATATATAAAATAAAGAAACTTCACTGAGACCTATGAGACCAAACAAGTCATATATGAATGTAGACCCTCCAGAATAACAGCAAAGTTTTCAATGGAAAACTTAGTCAAAAAAAGGTCTTAGAAAGATATATTTCCCTTCTGGCCTTGAGACTGCACCCAGGTGGACTCACCCCTGCCCCCGGAGGACCAAGCAACTAGCAGCCTGCTGAGAGTGCAAGTTTACTCCTGCCCCCACTCAGGGTAGAGGGCAGAAGAGAGCTCTGACATGCCTAGAAGCCATTTCCTTCCACTTGCCCACTCTGGGATCTCCTAGTCTGGAGACTGCAGGCAGGGCAAACTGCCCCAGGCTCATCAAGAAACCTGATAGCACTATGCTAATCCAACTCCCATCCACCAGGAGAGGGAGTACCTTAGACCCCCCAGTATCCCACCATGAAACCCATCAGAATATTGGACCTGCTTGCACCCACCAGAAGAGAACATTGGACCCATAACCACCAGGAAAGGAAGAGACCCCAGCTGTACCCAGTGGAAGAAGGGATGGGAAAACAACAATATAAGAACACATTCAAAAACAGAAAAACCAATATGACACCACCAGAGTCTAGGGACTGTACACCAGCAAGACCTGAACATCCCAACACAGATGAGGCAGAAGAGAACGGCCTTAAAAACAACTTCATGAAGATGATAGAGACCCAAAAATAGGAAATGAAAAAATCCTTCAAAGAAATAGAAGAAAAGACAAACCAAAAGTTGCAAGAAACAATTCAAACAGTGCAAAATTTGAAAGCTGAAATAGAGACAATAAAGAAAACACAGTCTGTACCCAAGAGAAGAGGATGGAGACAAGATCCCCTGAATGGATGGGGAACACGGCGAGGAGTGGGGGGGAGTGGGACCTGGGAAGAAGAGAGGGGGTGAAAAGGAAGAGAGTTGGTCATGGGGGAAAAGGAAGTTGAGGGAGTGGGGGTAGAATAGGGGGAAGAGGGAATCATAGGATCGAATACAGATCAGGCACCAGAGCGACCTCGAGTGATCTAAAGGGATAACACCAATTGGCAAGCTAAGCAATAGTGGAGAGACCACCTCGAATGCCCATTCCTGATAATGAACTTGATGTCTATAACCATCCGGGAGCCTTCATCCTGTGACTGAT